GTACCAACATTTAAAATAGACAACTCTGACATCAAATTACAAATTTTGGATTTACTTGAAGATAATTCTTCATCCATGGAAATAATGTGTTTGTTTGTTAAGCTTGTTTGACATGAAGAATCTTTGAAATTATTTTTACAAAGAACATCACCAACCACTTCAAAATCAATATCATGTAATTTTGAATCATTCAAAATTGCATGATGTTGATTTTGAATCACATTTATGGAATGTAAAATTGAATCTTTAAAATCGACGGAAGATGGTGCTGCAACAACTTGTAACTCTTCTTTTTTCTGAATGATATCTGTAACACCTCTCACAAGTTGACGGTCAATAGCACGTTTGTGTCTGGAAATGTCTGTCAGTTTTTTTTCATAACCCATGGATTGATTCGGTATCCAATCTGGGTGAGATTTCTCGAATAATTTAGCAGGTTTCCCTGTAATATATAAAACACAAATACATGCCTAATCATATATACTATAAGAAGTAAAAAATATTGTATTCCTTAAAAAGAACTGAGTTTACCATATTTGAATTGTTAATGCAACTAAATAAATTTGTTGGAAACCTCAATTTAGCTGTATTTTATAGAAAACTGATAAGTTTAAAATGTTTTTTTTCGAAAAAAAAGAAGAAAAAAAGAGAATAACTAAAAAAAAACCTGTAATAAAATGATCAGAACAAACTCTATAGTGAGTTGCATCGAAATTCATGTCTTCACGTTTTATTGCACAAAACCATTTATTTTTCCTTTCTGTTGAGAGTTGCTTAGCTTCCTCGTCGTGGTGTAAAAGTATGGTTGGAATGCGAAAAAATGACTTTGTACAATTTTCAGAACGATTAGTGCAATTAAACACACAACAAAAAACCATGGTTTTAAATGTTTTCAAAATTATATAAACAAATATATCAATACAAAAGCGCAATAAGTATACGGTAACTCGTTGTTTGTTTGTGAACCATCATGGCGGCTTATTTACAATTTAGTTTTAGCTGAAGCTAGTGAGGCCAGGTCGGAACACCGAATACTACTCTTAATAATGATGTGCAAAGTTCAATATATTTTGATAAAAATGCTTGCCTTGCTCCGTTGAGTAAGTTTCCTGAATCTCCTTGATTTTATTGAGATAAGAGTTAAGAATATGGACTTTAAGTGAGATTCTGCATCCTATTTTGGAGTAGTTCTTTATAAGAATTGAAACTAACTCTTAATTTTTTTCAGCCTTGTGATTAGCCAGGAAGCTATGAATAACTGCTACAACACTGTTTTAAGTTGCTCTCTTTGTCCTCTTCAGGAGCATGGCAAACTTATTACATTTTCTTAATATGTAACTTAAAGAAGATACTAGCTCAAACCTTAGCCTTGGACTGCTTCATAAAAATATTATGGGGATACTTAAAAGGTCCTGACTCCTTGTCATGTGAAAAATTTCTTGATGAGGCTTAATCTAATGCCTAGTGATGGCGTAAGCACTTTCTAAGGTTCCCATAAGTGGCTCCCATTTCAAATTATTCTTGCCCATAGAGAACTCTGTCCATTGTGGCTAGTCTTTTCTGTGGTTTTGCACCTTAGTGTCATGGTTGTCCCAGAGGAACTTAGTAAGTTTTTTTTATGAAAAGAAGTAAGTTTTTTGAAAACTGCTTGAAAGTATATAAAAAATAGTCTCATTTTAAAATGTCTGATGTCCTTCATCCTTTGTTGTCATACTTCATGACACTCAGCAACATCTTGACACTGGTCCTTTTTAAGATGCACAGAGTCAAATCATTGGAATAAATAAAAATTGTTTTTATTGTGAAGCAACATGGCTTTATGGTTCCAGTATGAACTGTCTATAAAAACAGTCTCAAAAAGACTGGTTGATTTTTACAGAAACACAATATTTCTGAGTAAAGAAATTAAAAAATGTTTAGTGATTCTTTCTTGTGCATTTGTGCTTGAGTGATGTTTTGTGGGATCAACAGAAGTTGCATTTTCTTGAACGGTCTGTCAATTATTGCTAAAATACCAAACTTTGTCACTCTCATTTTTTCCCAACCTGTAACACATATAACTAACTATATAAATTTGAAGACAGGAAATTTTATACATCACCTAGTACAGGATATATTTGGCTACATTTAGACAGTTTTTTTTTCCTTTTTATTAAGGTGCTCCTAGAAGTCCTTATAAACTTATCTAAGAGCTGAAGAGCATTTAATTAGGAAGTTTAAGGCTTCTTCCTTATATATATATATATATATATATATATATATATATATATATATATATATATATATATATATATATATATATATAGTAGTTATTGTATCTATTGTTTTTATTTTTGTATATACATAAGCAGTGCCGTACCCAGATGTAATCCCATGCCGTTTGACTGGTATGAGGGCTCAAACTAATGCACCTTGACTAAAAATTCCATGAATGCCCAAACATTAAATAAAAGCAAATAATCGTATTTAAAAAAAATTGTCATTTTTGTTAGCCTAACATTGTGTTTTATAACTATAATTATAGTTGTGAACTTTATCAATGTAGCTTACTTATTTTTTATTTATAAGTATGGAATTATATTTATGTGAATTGATTTTAAAATGATTTTTTTTATCAATAAATGTTAAAATACTATATTAGCGTATTTTAAAGTATCGATTTGTATTTGAATTTAATTTTAAGGGGCATTAAAGTCTTTTAAACAATAATTGTAACAAAAATTACTACTACAATTTGTTATTTTAAAAATATATATTTAAAAAATTGTATTTTTTTTTTTTAATTTTTTTTTTTAAACATGACATAGCAGGCTTGGTCGGGAAGCGGGAGTGATCGCTCTCGATTGCTGACCAGGTAAATAATATTTAGTTGCGAAAAGCTGGCCAGATTTTTTAGTCGTTTTGAGAACATTTTAACAAGCAAAAAAAAAAAAGCGCCTAAGATTAATTGGACCGATAGAGACAATTAGAAAAAAATTTTTATAAAATTAAATATGACGAGGAAGCGAAACTGCTTCACAATATCACTGATGATGTTTAGTGAGTGGGCTTTTTAATTAGTAATTAAAGCAGAAAAAAGTGCAACGAGTTTTAAAGAATGGCAAATGAAGCATAATGAAAATATGTATTTTACATGTTTAAAACGTTTCTTGTGACCACTTGATAAAACAGACTACTTCACATCCATTTTTCTTCAAATCCATTCTCATCCATTTTTAAATACATATCTAATAATTTATTTTTTTTCAATTTTCATGACCGGTACCACTCAAATAATTGCTGGGTACGGCACTGATAAGTCCCTATAGTTTCTCTCTCTAGTTGGATCTGGTAAGAGTTGATAATTTTTTTTGGAAAGTTTTATAATGTATAATTTTTGGACATGGTTCAATTTTTAATGCATTTAATGATGTTAATAAAAAATTTTCTTTAGCAAACCTTAAAGTTTTTTTTTCCCTTCCCTTTTTATATTTTGCTGAATCAATTTTTAATTTCCTGTCAACTTGCTCATAAACTTTTCTTAGTTTTTTTTTTTTAAGTTTAATTTTGCTTGCTTACAGCTTTGTTAGGATTGAATTTGTTTTTTAAAAAACGTTTACAATTTATACAACAAAAATGTTTTAATACTTTATTAGGTCTCTTTATGTTGAATATGAAAGTGATATAACTGTTTTTGACATAACATTGTATCGTCATACTACATCACAATGGTTATTCATGAACAGTTCAGTAAACCCTGATAATGAAGCTTTTTGTGGACCAACCAAATGCTGGGGAACTGGATTACTTCCAATTGGACAAACTCAAGATGGAAGTAAATATTTTTTAGCTTTAATTTTTGTATTATTGTTGTAGTTGTTACTTATATGGTGCTGGTCTAAAAAGGTCTCTTGTGCCATCTACTAAAATTGATTCTTCTCATTGAAAGTCGTCTGTTAATTGTTATCTTGCCTCATAAACATCATCTTTTCTTTTCCAGTAACTCCCAACTTTAATAATAATTGTTTGCAGCCTTGTTGAAAGTGATGTCTATCTAGAAATATCTTTAAGATTATTGAATCCTTCCTTTCCATAGTATAAAAGTTGCCCTTGATGGACAGCACTCTTCTTCTTATTCTGTAACCTCAGGGGTTCCTTTAAGGTTCAATCCTTAGCCCTATGCTCTTTTTAAATTACATTAACGATCTTCCAAAAAAAAATGTAAAAAAAAAAAATTGATATTATTATTTTTATTATTATTAACAATAATATAGAACTGAATTATCTCTGTATTAAGTGTGTGTTACTATGGCATTATTACTTTTTTTTTCTTTAAACCTGTGCAGCTATAGCATAGGAACTTGTGAATCATTGTCATATGATAAATTAAATTTATTTAAATTAAAATTTATCATATCTATCATTTTCTTTGCATTTTTTTTTATTCAAGCTTATAAAGAAGAGGCCAAAAGAATGAGGGGAAATTGACTATAGCTGCAGTTTTCAACTTAAAGCAAGTTTTTTTTATCACAATATAGTTCAACTGGATCCTTTTATTATTTCAGGCATATGCAAAATCATAACCCTATTGTTACAAAAATTGATTTTTTTAAGACTTATTTTTGTTTGTGGAACAAGAATAAGGAAACAAAAGTTATCTGTGAAGTAAGCACTTGAGTATTTAAATTAATTCAATATGACAATAATAAAAGTGAATCACAATTTTATCTCTTCTGTGATCAAAAATATAATTATCTGATCAAGTTAGAAGTTTATTGAGTTTTTGTACTTTTTGTACCAACCATTTGTACTACCTTCTTTGTACCAGGGCACAGACAGAATAAAAATGATTTAGTCCATTTAGGAATTGAAAAACTGAATACTTCAACTAATTGAAAATCAAGTAATAGAACAACACATACACATATGCAATAGGGAACAAAAATTAAACAACAACAACCAAAATACAAGGAAATATTTTGGAATGTTTGTAGTTATTGTGATATCTAAACTTTGACTTCCTATTGAAACAGAATTTTGTTAATCAAAATTTGCCATTTTGAATTTGTTAAATAGTCAATACCTCCAAAATAGATCATCATTTAAAAGTAAATATTGTAAATATTTGTAAATATTTTATTCTTTTTGAAACAAGAAATTCAAAAATAAAATTCAAAATTTGTTGTTTTTAGTGTTACTAAAACAAGTAAAAGTGTTATTTCATTTTATAATGAATCAATCTTTATTTTTAGCGTACGTTTAATAAAAATTCATTCTGATGAAATAAAAAACTTTTATGATTATACTTACAAGTGCTTACGTATTACGTAGCTGCGTTAATGATGAACAACCGAATAAAAGTTGTGGCCAGTATTTTTCAGTTCAAATTTTTAAGTCTAAATATTCTTTACTTTATAAATGATTACAAAGAAGAAGTTGCAATCAGCATGTAAAAAACACTGGTTGCACAAAACCAGCAGCTAAAAAGGCAAAAGTATCAGTACACTAAAAAGGAAAAGTTTTTATTTTTTTTATGCAACAAAGTTTCCAAAATATTAGTTATACCAAAGCCTAAATATTTGAGTTAAATATTATTTTGAGGAAATGAAATAATGATAATAGTACCCTAACCCTGACCCAATAATCCAAATTTCATGAAAAAGAATATATTTTTTTTCAACATCTTTACTTCTAACAAGACTGCAAGCAAGCACTATTAGAGTTGGAAATTACTGGGAGAGAAAAGATGAAGTTTATAAAGCAAGATAATGATTATTGGACAACTTAAAAGGTTGCAAATGATATGAATCAGGAAAGCAAGAAGGGAGCAAATTCCAAAGAACTGATGTTTGAGGAAAAAAACTAGACAAATAAGAATTTGATGCACTTAAAAACAGTCACAGTAAAAGGATGAGACTTAATTAAATGACAAGTAACACAAGAATTAATTTTAGTAGATGGCACAAAAGATGCTAGCTTTTTTGAGCAGCGCCGTTTAAGCAAGATAAAAGAAGCAAATTCAAATATGGCAACTATTCCATGCAAGGAAAGATTTTAGACTTGTAGAGAATAAGAATAGAATCCTTCTTATCAAGACAAGAATAAATGATATATCATCAGCGAACAATGCTACCTTAGATGTTAGAATATCTGGGAGATCATTAATGTTAATTAAAAAAGTAAGAATAGAACCTTGGCCAAAGCCAAGGATAGAACTTTGAGGAACCCCTGAAGTTACAGGATATGAAGAAGAGTGCTGCCCATCAAGGACACCTTTTATACTACGATTGGTATGAGAGGATTCAATAATGTTAAAGAAGTTACCTGATACACCATAAGAAGAGAGCTTATAGAGGAGACCCAATGCCAAACCTAATTAAAGGCTTTAGAAATGCCTAGAGGGATAGCCTTAACCTTAAAAAGTTCAAACTCAAACACTTTCAAAATATTTATGAAAAAAGTTCGAACTTTTTCGAACTTTTTTAAATAATTTTTATTTATTTAAGATTGAAAACAAGTACAAGTAAAACACAAAACTGTTAATTTATTTAGAAAGAATTTTTATTTGTTTATAAAAAGTAAATGCAAGGTATCATTCTGCAACCAGTTTCTTTTTCTATGTGAAAACAATCCAAAGCTAGAGAGCCCTTCCAGGAGATCATACCATTTGAAAATCATATATTTTATTAAAACATTTTCAAGTTCTTCAGCTGGAGCCAATTCTTTGTTATAATTTCTAATACTGTTACCATTTTTGGCTTTTTTAATAATATCGAGTCTCGAGTATCTCTCGAAGCTGGAATAATCTTTGATTAAGATTAATTTGAAAAATTATCTATATTATTTATTTTTATTTTGTTCTCAAACAGATTACCTTGATTTAAAACAACTAGGTTTATCAAATATATCATTTTTATGAACTAAATTATTATTTTATTAATTTAATTTTTATTGATGTTATTACATTTGAGAACCTCTAATTTGTGTTTATTTTTAAGTGTCTTGTAATAGTGCGTGTTAAGGCACATTTTGCTGGTTGCAGCTTTTGGAAAAAAATGAAAATACTCATAAACTTCAGATCTTCTAGATGTGCTAACGCTGAGTAGCCTTTTTTGTTTGAACTCTTTATAATTTTAATTTCAAACATAAATAAACAGAGGTCAAATGATGAAAAAGTACCAGCCACTGTTTAACAACTTTTTAATAGGAAAAAAATGATCCTACCTTAAATGTGATGGCGTTACAGGTGATGTAATTTTGATTATATTTTAAGAGTTTCCAGACAAACGCAAAACAAAAAAAAGCAGAAATATTCAAATTTATAATTTTTACTTATATTTCAGCTTGTTTTACAAAAATTAATGAAAAGACATATCATTTTTTCAAATTTAAAAGTTCGAACTATTAGGAGAAAAAAGTTCTACCTTGAATGTTGAAATTTTTGCGTAAAGTTCGAATTTGAACATGTTTGAACTAGCAGCCCTAGCCTTAACATCTCCACATCTATCTAATGCACGATAAAACCTATTGGTTATTACCGTTAAAACTTATTGGTTTTTACCGTTAACAATTCAGCAGTAAAATGAGAAGATCAAAATCCATATTGATTATCATAAAGTTAATAGATTCAAGATGAGAAATTACAGGTATAGTGCCTTTAAAAAGAAAAAAAAAAATATTGCTGATAACTATTGTTAACCAAAATTAAACAAAAGTTTGGATGTTCCAAAATATAAACAAGCCATATAACTTTTAGAAAAAAAGTTAAGCTACAGTGCAGTAATTCAAAATTTTTTCTAATTTTGTCTCAGAAAATTTTTTAAAATGTAAGAACTAAAATTGACTAATATTTAGTATAAAACAAAAAATAATTAATTTAAGTCTGTAAATTAAAGTCTAGAAAAAAGCTATGAATAGGCTCCTTATCAGAAAAGTAGTTGTTTTTAATTGTTTGATACAAACATCTTTGATTGCTTAAAAAGCACTTTAAAAATGTTAATATTTTTGTCTTTTTAAGGGCACTGTTTATTTTCAACTTTTTTGCCTATTTTTCCTTCTAAATGAAATAAAATTAAATAATAAACAAAACTCTGTTTTTATTGATTAATGCAATTATTCAATCAATAATAACAAACATTCTATCGATATAATGTAATCTATTGAGTTAAAAATCTTTAATACTGTCTTCTTCATCGTCAGACTTTCTAAATAACTTCTTTGCAGTGGTTATTTTTTTGGTTGTACATTTAGGTAAAAACATAATTGATCTTTTACCATCTACAATGCACTTTGATTTTACCACATTGATTTCATAACAATTCGACACATGGGGCATTGTTTTTGTCTGAAACTCATCTTTCTTTGCATCTATAAAACAACTCAGTTTTTTCTCTTTTTTTTTCTTTCTTTGTCTTCTTTCTCCTGCACTTTTTTCTTCTTTAAATTGTTAACAGACTCTACAGGTTTTAGCACATCTTGACCTTCCATAGAGCCATGGATTTGGGTTACTCTTGTAGTTGCTTTTTGTGTATCGTTACTTTTTGTTGACTTAATTTTTTGAATTGTCAATAGACCTAGTATTTCATTAGCATTAATGCTTTTTTCATGTAAGTCTGTAATCATTGTATGTAGTGACAAACATTTTACTTTCCAGCTTGAAGCTTTCTCTTTCCAATATATTTGTCTATTTTTTTGTTTCATAGATATAGGAAAACTTATTTTTCCATTTAGAACTCATGAAACTGATGAAATGTTGTTGAGTGTTTTTTTTTTTTTTTTATAGAATTGTTTTTTCAAACTTTTTCTACTAACATTGCAGCAAGTTAGAATTTATCTTTTCGGATAAATGCAACGTTTAAGTTTTCATTACTCATATCAACCTTCTTACCAGCTTTTCATATCAACTCTGGTGTGGCCTACTTCTCCCACATACTTGCAAGAAATAACATAAAAGCCTCTCTATTAATTATTTGATGACTAAGCAAAATTTTCTTTTGCATTTGCATAATGTTCATGAAATGCTTTGTTAATTTGATCAAGAAGTTGTGTTACCTCAGTAGGGTTTGGAGGTGATATATATTAATGTGTTTCTTTCTCTCTAAGAAATCGAAGTAAAGTATAATCAAAGTGAGAACTGTAATCATCGCTCAGTACAACATAAGGCTAAGTCTTTTGCAATTAAGTGTCTATCAAATAACTTATAAAATGCAAGTAAGGATTTGTGACCCATTTTCTCTTGTCAAAATAAATAAGTTTGGAATACTTCAAACAGCATTTTTAAAAGCCATCTGGCTAGTAATTCCTTGAGTACCAAATATTACATAGATACATATTTCAGATGGTAGATGCATATTTCAGGTAGATGCATATTTCAGGCTTGGTCAAGAAGCAGGAGAGATTGCTCTCAATTGCTGACCACGGAAATAATATTTAGTTGCAAAAAGCTGGCCAGATTTTTAAATCGTTTTGAGAACATTTCAAAAAGTAAAAATAAATGCTCAAAAGATTAATTGATAATGATAACATTTCAAAAAGTAAAAATAAATGCTCAAAAGATTAATTGATTAAGAGATAATTACAAAAATAAAAAATTAAAAAAAATAAAATATCTTTTAACCCGATAAAACTTTAAGCAAAATAAATTACGTTTAAAATAAATATTTTCGAAACATCACTTTTATAATTTTTTTATGAAATAAAGTGGCGTTTTTTATATAGAGTTTTTTATATAACATCTTATGATTGTTTAATAAGGAAACAAATGTTTTTTATTTAAGTTTGCAAGTTTTAGTTTTATCTAAGCTAAATTATTTTATAAATAAAAAAGTTAATTTTTTTAATACCTATTTTATGTTTCGCGTAGTTTAAAAATTAACTAGATAGAAATCAACTATAAAAGTTTAAAAATACTTTATAAGGAGGAAGCGAAACTGCTTCACAATATCGCTGATGTTTAGTGAGTGGGCTTTTTATTTTTAATTAGTATTTAAAGCAAAAAAAAGTGTAATGAGTTTTTAAAAATGGCAACTTAAGCAAAAATAATTAGTTAGTAAACCAATATCTAGAAACTTTTCTTTATATCTAATAACTTGCTATAAATATTCGTGTTCTGTCGTGACCTTAGGTGCGGTGCTTATTCATCCACAAGTTACTTTGTATACATTGTTTGTGTTTAGTAACCAGAAACTTCTTATATGTTTGTTACATAATTAGTTTTATTAACTTTAATGATTATTAATAACTTCATTGAAAGCGGAGTTATTTTTTAAGTCTTTGTTTACAAATTAAATGATAAAAATTGCTTTAAAAGATTGCGATAAAAAACAGATACACAAAATTAGGTTTACATAAAAAATACATACTTTTTAAATAAAAAATAAGAATATACTAATAAAATCTATAATTTATAATAAACTCAAAATTTTAACAATTTAAGTAATATTTTAAACATTTATTTTTGTAAACAAATAATAGTTTAAAAGATTTACGGCTTGGCAGATGTGGCTCCGAGAATGAGCCATAGTAATAATAATATATTCTTAAAACAATTTATGTTAAAAATCTCAAAATGTAACAAATCGTGATTAATACAATTTCTAAAACATTTCAACAGAATACTCTAGAACTTTTTTCACTTAGTCAGCGTATTTTTTGAACCAATAGAATTAGTTTGTTTGTTAGTTTGGCGGATTTTTAGGGTTTGCGAATATTCATTTTATTCTTCCACACCAAGATGTTTTGCGAACATTCAAGTTTTTTATGTTTCCATGTATGTCTGTAAAACAAAAATTTTTTGTTTCTTACATAAACTTAAATATTCTCAAAACGACTAAAAGGTCTGGCCAGTTTTTTGCAACTAAATATAATTTAAGCAGTAAAAATGTGTCTCAAATTTCAAAATATAAATTACATGTTTTGTCCTAAAATATTTTTATTTTTAAATTTGTAATTTTTTGACAATACTTATACTAATAAGCATTTATAGTAAAATGTTTATATATAGAAAATAAAATTTATGAAATAGGTTTCAATATCTAGTACTAGATAGGATAATGTAATAATTTAAAGTTTAAAATTGTTTTTGGTATAATGTATTAGATAATGACACCATTGAATATATAGTAACATATTCTCAATTATGTTGAATCATTTTTTGACAGCTTTCACCACACCCACCATATACTAATCCACTAGCTTAACCATTAACACCATAGCTAACAAATGTGGTGTTTCATCTTGATTGGAGATCTGAGATAAGTTAATTTGACCAGTCCAATGACCAGTTGCTTCTTGATTTTCTTCAATCATGGTGCCACAAACCACCAATTCTTTTACAAGGTCATCTTAAAAATAGTGAACACTCTTTACAATTTTTTATTTAAAAACTTTAAAGAAGTCGATTCATATTTTTAAATCTATATTAGCATTTCTGACTTATTTTTATGAAGTCATTTTGTTTGGGCTTTAGATATTGAAAAGTAAAATACATTATTATATAAAAGAGATTTATATAATAGAGCACTGTACTTATTTTTTATGTTTTTTTTTATCATACTTTCAAAACTATGTATGCTTATCAGAGTCTTGTTTTCCAGTTGGCTGGAAAACAAGACTCTGATAAGCATACATAGTTTTGAAAGTATGAGCATTAAAGTCACCAACAACAACAACATTTGCTGAAGGATAAAGAGAGTACAAAAGTAAAAAACATAGTGCAAAACAAAATTCATGAAGGAATAGTATTATATTCAAACCAAATTTGTTTCACAATAAATTGGTGAGTTCTTACGAATGTAAATACCCAGGCCCAGCATGTGACTATTTGAGTCTTTACGAGTTTAAGAAAGATAACCATCAACACTAAGATCGCAAGATGAGACAGCTGAACTCAAATTAGTCTCACAAAGAGCAAGTAGGTCTGGGGAACTTTGCAAGAGATAAGACTCAACAGAAGAAAAGTTACTTCGAAGAGATAAGACTCAACAGAAGAAAAGTTACTTCGAAGACCACGAATATTAATGAAGGATAAATTTCGAGAACTTGTGATGACGATGGTTTTTTTGTGTTTTATAGTTTTTGATACTTTATTCATTTTTTAAATGTTAAAGAACTTGATTCAAAGCACAGATAGTACTCAGTATGCTATTAAATAGTTTAAGCAATTGCCTTATTACCATTAATAAACCCTAAGCCGTAACAAAGGGCTTTAAATGTGGCCTCTACAATGCACACCAAAAGTATGAACAGGGACTACATCCATGCATGCAAAAACCCATGCAATAAGTCAAGATGATTCTGCATTTAACATCCTAAACTAGAAACAATGTGTTATAAATACCTCAACGCCAGCCTAATAGATGAAGAAGAGGTGAGAAGCTGGTCAACAGTTAAAATCTGTTTACCCCTTAAGTCTTTGCCTTGGATGTATTCTACAAGACAGTAGCTAGATGCATTTAATATCTGCCTAAGATGTTACCACCTCCCTGGTAGTACCGCGCTCAACTCGTTTCTCCGCGCAGCGGCCTTGTTCGTCAAGGTTCGTGTTTCGGAGTTATAAAGTTGAGAGAGGGTGATAGCCACAAAATAAGTAGCCTCCTTGTCTGTAGTGGCCTTCTCGGCCTTGAGGAGGTGAATTAAAATAAAAAAAAAGAAAAAAAAAAAGATGAGTATTTTTATAGAGACACCATCTCTAGCCTTTACTTAACCAAAAGCCTCAATTTTACTCAACCAAAAGCCTCAGTTTTACTTAAACAAAACCCTCAATTTTACTCAAACAAAAGCCATATCCTACAAGGCAGCAGGACATGAAACAGGTTGTACTGGGTTACATGCTACCAGTAGCAGGATAACCTAGTGTGACCTGGAACTAAATGAAATAGTAAATTAATAACTTAATACATAGCTTATATGAACTTAAGATACTTAATTTGTAGAATTTTAAAAATTTCAGATTTAAATCTGAAATCCAATTTAATTTGCAAAAGCCTTTTTTTAATTATTTTTTAATTATGAAAAAAAAGCCATTATTATATTCCAAGTTCAATTTATTCTTTATTTACTAGATCCTCCATTGTTTATGTCTAGTCCTCACTTCTATCAAGGAGATCAAAAGCTAGTTGATGCAATCAATGGTCTTCATCCGAATAAATCTCTACATGCTACATTTCTAGATGCTGAACCAGTATTTTTAATTTTGATTTTTTAGACTTAAAATTGTTTGATCAAGTTTTAATTAATTAAAGAAAATAATTAACATTCTAAAAAAAATTGTTTATAAAGATATAAAAAGGTAAAAACAGTAAATTAAAAAATTTATTTATTTAGTTTTTGAATTATATTTAAAACAAATACAAATTTTTTAAAAATTAATCATAGGTTGTAATATACAAAAAAAACCTTTGATAAATTAAAATAATAAATAATTATCATAAAATAAATTGTAATTTCTTTATATGTAAGTTAATCATACAGTTTGTTTAATTTATTTATGTTAGGACAGGAGAATATTGGTATTAAAAGTTTAGGACAAAACATTGTCAAATAGTCAAACAAGTTAAAACTAAGAATTTTTGAACATGTTTAAAATATTAATCTAAATCATAGTTATCATCATAAAAATTTATCTCCAAAGCTAAAACTTTTACTAGTACATTGCATAAAACCTTTACTAGTACATTGCATATTCAATGACACCAATTTGACATTTATTTTGGGGTATTTTGACAGTCTAAATGGTGATGTCACCTTGATAATTTTTTTTAGGCATTACTAAAACTTACAATATAGGTATCAAACATCACTATTAATTAAAAACATATTATTGCATTTTTTGACTTTACTAAATACAGCCTTTAAGTAAAACTTATATAAATGCTGAGTCAGCATAAAATTTATTGCCAACTTATGTCTTAATTTCATGTCGTAAAAAGTTATGTCTTAATTTCATGTCGTAAAAAGTTACATCTTAATTTCGTGTCGTAAAAAGTTATTTTTAAAGTCATTTTGAGGGCAATAATAAATGTCTACTTTATTTCTAAATTTTTGGTACCTTTTACCTACCATTTGTTATCTGCACAAAGTTAAATGTCTGAACATCAGTTTGTTGAATCATCCTTTTAAAAGAAATTTTATAATTATCAATAAGTATAAAATAGTGAAAGCAGCTTGTTCCTGGCAAGGTTCTTCCCATAGTAAACCTTGGTTGCAATAATGATCGTACTTCGTTTATTTCTGTTTTATAAACTAAAATGAATTAAATGTTTTTTATATTGGTTACACAAAATTTAAACATCTTATCTACATCTAAAATCTGTCCAGTCACTGTTCTTTTTAAACTAGCTTGTGCAGTTATTTGTTTTACTATGCCGCCAATCCATACAAGCAGACCTACCATGGCTTGTAGCAAAAAAGACCCATTCAGCATCAGTATCAAAGTCTTCTTTGTGATGGCAAAAATTAATAAAGTTTTGAGAGTTTTTATATTGTGCTGCACATCCATCAGTGAAGTATTTAATATTACTGATTTGTAGAATCTTTGCTTTAATGTAATTGGTAATGAGCTGTTGTATTTTATATACAAATTATACATCATGCATCATCAGAAAGGAAGCAAAATGACTTAAATATCAGTTTATCATTTGATTTATAGTATATAATAATAGGGTGAAGTGTACATTTTGGTTTATTCCAGTGGTAACTTTGCACCTCATCTTTAATCAATATTGATTTTTTGATTGATCAGCATAGTTCTATCTGTATGTTGCCATTGGTTAATTGCTATTTCTTTATTGCTGTTGTCAAACTTTGCTGTTAAGAATTCTTTTAAAGTAGTAATACCAGGACATAACGGGAATCGATGTAACATGCACTCTACATTATCCCTATTGCAAACAATCATTTCCATCAAATCTCTATAGTCTTTTTCAATTTTAAGAGCATCAGTTAACAACTTAACATATAAGGTACAGATAGGTACAGATACAAACACTATGGGTGCCAGACGAGTTTGTGGTTATACACCATCTTGGCCAAAGGCTGCAAAACTTAGAAAATCCGACATTTAAATTAGAATGTTCGGATTTAAATGCTACATAAAGTTCCTTTAAATTTCCATGTTTTTTAAATAGATTACAGCATTTCTGAAATTTTCTTTTAAATGCAACTCCAAAGTATTCTCTATGATAGAAGCAAACTGTTGTAAACAATTTTCCACAATCAATTAAACCAGCTCTCCATAGTAACTCATGTTTTTCACCACTTGAAAACGTTGATAGATTTGAAAGACCTTGTCTACTTGTTAAACCTTGCTTGTGGCAGTCAACATTACATTCTAATCTAATAGAACACTTTTCCATAATTTAAACTTTTTAATCTATTCAAAAAACCTGATTTTGAAATATTTTACAAAATAAATTTTTTTAGAAATACCATTCACATTATTTAGTTTATGGAAAACTATTTATACAATTTATTTGTTAGGATGTGTCCTATTATGTGACTTCCTTATATATATATATATATATATATATATATATATATATATATATATATATATATATATATATATATATATATATATATATATATATATATATATATATATATATATATATATGATAAATAGTAATTAAATTTTATTTTATTTACTAATCATATAGTATCATTCATAACATTCATTAATTAGTTAAGTAAATATGAAATTCCTGCAAAGTAACAGGAAACTAATATTTACAACATGAAATCTAAACAGAAGCAATAAAGTAATAATGTGGAAATAAAAGGCATTGTTTATAAAAGACAAAAAAATTTGGATTACAGCCTAATAAAGTTTTTAAACTTAAAAAAATGTCTTTTACAAATAAATTAGCTTTAATAAATAAATTTATTATTTCTAATTATTGCTCTAAGGCCTCCAAAAGCTTGATGGAAAATTTTAACAAAACAATTGTTTTGTAAAAAGTAAAAAGATTGATTTGATTTTATTGGCATAAAAAAAATAAGAAAAATATTTTAAAAAATTTTCTATGAGGGCAGGGGGGGATGCCTACCCCAAGTACCAAAAATAAATATAGTCTACATTTATCATTGCCTTTAAATGACTTTAAAAATAACTTTTTACAACATGAAATTAAGATATAGCTTATTTTTTCATAAATAAGTAAGCATTAAATTTTATGCTGACTCAGCATTTATATAAGCTTTACTTGAAAGGCTATATTTAGAAAAGTCAAAAATAAGCGATATTATATTTTTAGTTAATAGTGGTGTTTGATACCTATATTGTAAGTTTTAGTAATGCCTAAAAATAATTATTAAGGTGACATCACCATTTTGACCGTCAAAATACCCCAAAATAAGTGAAAAATTGAAAATTGAAACCTGAATATCTCAAGAATCGTAAGGAGTTGGAGGTTCCAAATTTCAGATTTTAAATTTAAAATTAGCAATTAAAGTTAAAATTAAAATTAGCAATATCCCAAACATGGGGGATTTGACATGGAATTACCCAAAAGTGAGCTTGAATTTGAACTCACAAGTTTAGCATTTAAGTTGATTCGTTTTATAATTTCCATTAAAACATTTCATTGACTGGCATTTTTTTAAAACACGCATGGTAAGCCATTGCTATAAGGAAGACTATAAAGATTGGTCTATAACAAGATCGATAAACAAGTGAAACTGAAATAAAAACATGAAAAAATGAAACCTGAAATAAAAATGTGAAATGAAATGATGCGCTTTTAGTTCTTCTTGACTAGTGACCATTATAGTACTTGGGGAAAAGAAAAGACATGCAACATCAATGAAATAGAGACTCAAGCTTGGCAGCTAGACCAGTTTCAATTACATTTACAATGCATTTTTGGTCTAAAAAATAGAAGGCATTTTTCGATGAACCAGGCCAATTATGGCAAAAGTATTTTATACAAGGACAAATATAAGACTTATAGAGGTAGAGAATGGAATCAGGAGTAAGAAAATCGCAAGCACAATAAAGAGAGGCAAACTTTGCGATGGGTTGTATATATGGTTTCCATGAGATGTCAGTGGTAACATTCAAGAAGATGTAAAGTAGAATACTGTAACTAATAAGAGTGTTGCCATTCATTAATAATATCAAAAACATTTTGATAATTATTTGCAGTAAACTGAGTTTTGTTTGGGTTCAAATTCACCAACCACTGCAACTTCCAAGCTGTAACAGAAGATCAGATTTTATATATGCTGTCTTTTAAACGATCAAAAAGTGATAAATTTTGATAATTTTAAAAACTTTCCCATATGGCACACCCTATGGCTGATACACAATATGATATGCCTTATGAGAGATAAACCATATGACAGCTAATGGAAAACATTGCAGACAATTGAATTGCTTTGATATGTTAAGAGCAAAAGCCTTTACTTCATCAATTTCATCCTATGTATGATAGAACCATAACATCACTATGACAACTGACTGCCCAAACACAAGAATTGACTTTCTGCATATCAATTGAAATATCACATATATTTGCATCAGTTGAAACTTCTTTCCAAGGACCACGTGTTGTGACTAAACACTGTCTATGAATTTTTGTCTCACAAAAAAAAAAATGATGCTGTCTCCAATTAACCTATAGTATAAAAATTCAATTTTTAATAAGCGGCTATTCTATTTTAATGGTTAACTAGGCAGCAGTAGAATGTGAAGGTTAAAGTATTTAGTGAGAGAGTGAATTGTTCTAATTCTTCTAATATCTCAAGATGAGATATTAGAAGTTTGTTAATTAAATACTTAAAAATAGTAATAAAAAGATTAGTTAAGGGGTCAGAGTGATCTCCAAATTTTAAAAAAAGTCATAAAAGTAATTGTTAAATAACTGTTAAATGATTATAAGAGATGTATATGATATGAAATATTAAACTTTGTTAATGCCATAGTTAAAGATTTTTTAATAGTTTCTAAAACCTATTTCTGAAAATATTAAAAAATCTTTAACAATGTCATTAACAAAGTTAATTAAATAATTTCTAAGATAAAATATGAGTTATTAATATGAGAATAATAGTAGGATCTTAGGACTGTTTTGCATCAGTATCTTGCAATGATAAAAAGATTCTCAAGAAAGTTTTTTCAGGAAAAAGATAAAAGATATGATAGAAGAAATGATTATAAAGTAGCATAATCGTTTCTCTACTTAAAGTCTTCTTGGATTATTATTTACTATTGATTTCTCATCAGTGAAGAACCCAGAGTTTATTTGGGGATACCGTTTTTTTTTCAGCAACATTGAGGGGGGGATTATGTTTTTGATTTCCCCATCCCCCTCAATCTTCTCTAGTTAAACGAGTGCCGCAACAATAACATTTAATCATCATTTTCTTAATATTCATTTATGTTTATCTTGTTCAGTTTTATCCTATAATAAGGTGTTGAATTAAAGGCATTTTTTGAATACATGAATTTACTGGTGGACAATGTTACTTTAGCTGAAAGAAAACTATTCTACCTAAGATTTTAATAAACGTTTTTGTTATATATACCACGCTATCAGTAAATAATTATTGAAAATTGTTTAAAGTATTTTAAACAGTTATTAACTATATTTTTGTAAATTTAATTTAAAATGATAAAAATGTTTTAAACAATTTTTAATCAATATTTACATTACATAATATATTTACATATATATTTACATATATTATATTGCGTAATATTTGCAAAATTAACAAAATAGTTTTACCTCCTTGTATTTGAATTAAAAACATAAGCATTTAATAAATGTATTTAATAAACTATTCAAATAAAAACGTAGGTATTTAATAAACTTATTTCCAATTATTTTAAATTTAAAATTTTGATTTAAATATTAGTAAAATTGTTTATTTAACTTTTACTAAAGGTTATAATTTTTAAAGTGATTTTAAGGCGCCTTTTAAATTAAAGATAATTAAAGAGATAATTACAGTAAACATAATTTAAAAATTTTTTGTAATTTTGATTAAAAACCATATTATATTTTTAAAAACATTTTTAAAACAAAATATATTTTTAATTATTAAGAATAGTTTAAAAAATTACATTTGAATAAATAAATTACATTTACTTTTGGTTATTTTAAAAACTTTTATTAAGATATTAAAACCTTTTTTTTTTTATTATTTTAAAAAGAATATTGAAAGGAAAAAAACTGTCTGAAAAAGATAATACTTTGTTTTTTCCTTTTCCTTAAACTAAAATAGCAAACTAAAGATCAAAAGTTCATTCATTTAAAAATTAAATTTGCGCGATAGTTATTAAGGACTGATTTTTTTTACTTTCGTTCATTTATTATTAAAAGCACTTTCCTCTTAATTGCCAAAAAGAAAAATTAACCTTACGCTGAATGGATATTTAAAAGCGCTTTAACTTTCAAAAAAGCAAATCTTATATACATTCGATAGTTATAAAATTTTGCAGCGTGGTTTTTATTAAAATTAAGTTTCTTAACGACTTTCATTTTTTTAACAGTTATGTCCAGTTAATAACCAAAGGCAAATTACTCACGTAGTTATGTAAAAAAGCAATTTCTTTTTAATTCTTTTTATTTTCCTGAAGAAAAAATGAGGAAGCTGAGAATTATTTATATACTACTTCATTTGAAACTAATTTTTTTTTCTTTTTTTATAAAAAATCAAAAGAAAAATTAAAAATAAAGATAATTTTTGGGCGCTTTCTTATGGGCGCCCATACCTATAAAATGGTACTAAAACACGCCTGGGTTCTTCACTGCCTATGGAAACCATATACAGAAATCCGTTCGAAAGTATACATTTGTCAAGATTGCCCTCTCTTTATCATGGTTACCAATTCTTGATTAAAAATATTGTTTGATATCATGTTTAAAGATCATTTAGGTACCTGAAAAATCCAGTAATTAGTATTAACATTTTTCATAATATTATGTGTTTTACTATCTATTATAGACAACTGGCATTGTAATGCAAGCACACAAACGTTTACAAATTAACATATTAGTTCAGCCACTTAAATTGATCAGGTATGTTATATTTTCTTTGTTTATTTATTGTCTTAATCAGCAAGAAATACATAGCAACTGAAGATTTGAATTATACCACCCAATTAGATTTTAATTAGATCAATTATAAATACTCTAATTAAAATCTAATTCAGTGGCTTAGGTCAATTATAAATACTTTGTGTTTCTTGCTTACTTTTACTTGCCTTATGACAAAAAAGTTAAATGTACGCTTTATAAACATTTTAATCAAAATGTTCTCTAAAATTTAAGGAAATTTATGTTTTCATTTTTTTGATATCGCATAATCTGCTAATTTTTTTTTTTTTTATTTGCATTCACTCCCAACAAGGCTGCAAGCAACCACTATTAAGTTGGGAGTTACTAGGAAAAAAAAAGAACAGAGTTATAGAGCAAGGAAACGGTTGACAGAAGACTTGAAAAGTTGAAGGTTGTATGAGTCAGGAAAACATGAAGATGGGAGAGAGTTCCAAAGGATTGAAGTGAGGGGAAAAAAACTAGATGAATAAAAGTTTTTAGAGCATGCAGGGACAGATACAGTAAACGAATGAGACTTAGCTGTATCACGAGTAAAACGAGAATGAATTTTAGTTGATGGAACTAGAGATGATAACTCCTTTGAGCAGTGACCATGATAGTATCTGTAGAAAAGAGAAAGAGATGCAACTTTATGACGATGGGAAAGAGGTTCAAGCTTAGCAGATAGTCCAGGTCCAACAACATTTACAATGCGTTTTTGGACCTTGTCAAGAAGAGAAAGTGAATCGTTAAAAGAACCAGCCCAAATATGACAACAGTATTCCATACAGGGACGAATAAGAGATTTGTAGAGGTAGAGAATGGAATCAGATGTAAGGAAATGGCGAGCACAATAAAGAGAAGCAACCTTAGCAGATGCTAATTTAGCAATCGATTGTATATATGGTTTCCATAAAAGGTCAGTAGTAAGCAATAATCCAAGAAGAGGTAAAGAGGACGACTCTGTAAGAGGATTGCCATTCATTAATATAGGAATGTTGACCATATTACGGTAGTTGTTTGCAGTAAGCAATTGGGTTTTTTTAGAGTTGAAATTCACAAACCACTTTGAACCCCAATCTATTACTGAAGTCAGATCAGATTCAAGATCAGCTGCTTGTTCTAGGCGATCGAAAAGAGAAGACTTTTTGTCAAGACAGAAGTATAAAGTTGAGTCATCAGCAAAAAGAGCTACTTTAGATGAAAGGTTGTCAGGAAGATTGTTTATGTAGATAAGAAACAAAACAGGGCCCAGGATGGAACCTTGGGGAACCCCAGAAGTTACTGGAAATAAAGAAGAGTGTTGGCCTTCAAGGATGACTTTAATAAACCGGTCAGAAAGAAATGATTTGATAATCTCAAAAACTTTCCCAGAAACACCATATGAAGCAAGCTTATGGAGAAGACCAGCATGCCAAACTTTGTCGAAAGCTTTAGATATGTCGAGAGCAATAGCCCTAGCCTCACCGCCTCCATCTAATGCACGATAAAATCTTTCAGTTACAGCAGTTAGCAAGTCGGCCGTAGAGCGAGAGGATCGAAAACCGTATTGATTGTCTGACAGCAGTTTATTTGACTCAAGATGAGATGTGAGGAATTTGTTGATCAAAGACTCAAAGACCTTGCTAATAACAGAAAGAAGACTGATCGGACGATAATTGGAGAGGTCAGAATTTTCTCCAGAGTTTTTGAATATTGGAACCACAGATGCCATTTTCCAACTAGCAGGAAAACAAGACTCAGTCAAACACTTGTTAAATAGTTTAGAGAGAATTGAAGAAAGTTCTGGAGAACAATTCTGCAAGACTGTGACAGGAATGTTGTCTGGACCACAAGCTGTAGACGAGTTTAATTGAGATATGACTTTAGCAACAGAAGCCGGAGTGATTTGAATGTCTAACAATGGGTCAACCTGTTTGACTGGAATGGAAGGAAGAGAATGTCCTTAAGATTCAAGAGTGGAATTAGAAGAAAAGTTCTTTGCAAATAGTTCTGCCTTATCCTTGGGAGAGGTAATAAGATCAGTCCCATGAATGAGAGATGGAATGTTAGATCTACCCTTGTTAACAATGCTGTTGAAGATTTTCCAAAAGTCTTTAGAGCCTAACTTCTGCGATAAGATGCGAGATTTAGTGAACTGAGAATAATGGAGTTTAGCATCAGAAAGCACCTTTTTACACCGATTTCTTGCAATAATAAATAGCCGTTTGTTCTCAAGAGAGTTGTTCTTTTGAAAAAGATGAAAAAAATGATTACGATTGGATATAGCAGCCGCACAAGAAGGAGAAAACCATGGAGTAGAATGAGGCTTGACTTGAAACTGACGAAGGAATAAAAGCTTCCATTCCAGCCTGAATCCAGGAGGTTACGTAGGAGGCGCATTTGTCAGCTGAGAGAGAAAAGACATCAGCCCAAGGACCATCACAAAGAAAATCACGAAAGGAATCCCAGTCAGCTTTAGGGTAGTAGTAGGTGGTGCGATGATAAGGTGAGCCCAAAAAAGAAATACGATTTATAGAGATCATTGCATGGTCAGAACCACCTAAGGGAGAAAAGGGAGAAACTGAACATAAGCTAGGGTCAGAGACAAGACATAAGTCAAGGAGTGAAGGTAAATGATTAGGGTAGTCAGGAAAACGAGTCACAAAGTTAACTATCTGAGTAAGAGATTGAGAAACGCAGAAGTTAAAGGCTTTAGTGCCAGCAGGATCAGTGGTGTTAGAGCCAAGCCATTCAGTGTGATAGGCATTAAAATCACCAACAACAACAATATTGGCAGAGGGGTAAAGAGAGAGGGCATGGTCAATTTAATCAGAGATAACATCTAAAAGAGTGCAATCATGGGAAGAAGGAGAACGATAAAGAATAAAGAGAAAGGTGATAGAGTGAAGAGGTGCTAGGCGAAAGCACATAAAAGAATGGTCAAAGGATTCGAACCTGATTTCACGACAAATAGGGGAATTAATGCGTATGTAAACCCCTAAACCTAGCATGTGACTATTGGAGTCTTTACGAATCAAAGGATAGTACCCATCAACACTGACATCTGAAGAAGGAATTGCAGAACTTAAATTTGTTTCACTGAGTGCAAGCAAGTCTGGTGAATTTTGCAGGAGGTAAGACTCAACTGATGGAAAGTTGCTTCGTAGACCGCGAATATTTGTAAAAGATATATTAAAATATTAAGGTGGTGGGGATGGTTTTTTAGGTTTTAAATTTTTGGTTACTTTGGTCATGATTTGGGTTTAATGAGAACTTGACTCATTCATAGATAGAGCACAGCCTCCTAATCAATGAGCTATGCAGTTGTCTCAGTCCTGTTAATTAACCCTAAGCCGTGACATAGGGCTCCTTATGTGGCCTTGACAATGCACACCAAAAGCATTAACAGGGACACCATCCATGTGCAACATGGCACTGTTAATACTCTGATATTTTGCAGCTGTTGATGGAATCAGCCTCTCTGAGAGCTACCACAGAGTTCGGGAAACCTTACTACCAGCCGGCCTCAGAACCATTAAACTGAGTTTTAGAGCTGTACCCTCATATGGAGATAACAGGAAGAGTTGCATAGCCATTATCAAGGAGGCATAAGCAAAATTCTATGAGTAGAGTCAAGGAGATCTAGCATTCATCATCCTAGGCAGGAAACAATGTAACACAGGTTACATCTACGCCAGCCTAGTAGATGAAGAAGGGGTTCGAGGCTGGTTAACAGAATTTTTCTGCTTACCCCTAAAGTCTTTGCCTAGGAGGCCTTCTACAAAACAGTAGCAGGATGCAGTTAACATCTGCCCAAGATGAGTATTTTTATCGAGACACCATCTTTAGCCTTTACTCAACCAAGAGCCCCAAGACAGGGGATGTTTAGCTGGATGCAGTTAACATCTGCCCAAGACGAGTGTTTTTATCGAGACACCATCTCTAGCCTTTACTCAACCAAGAGCCCCAAGGCAGGGGAGTTTTTAGTCAGAGTTTATTTCTCCTAGCCTTTGCATAAGAAGAGCACACTCTGCAAGGCAGCAGGGCTTGTGGCAGGTGGTACTGGGTTACGTGATACCAGTAGCAAGATTGATCTCGATTATCCTGACCTGACCTGGAGTAGTTAAAAGGAGTTACTTCCCGCAACAGTACTTTGAGAAAACCAGGCATGACATTTTGGAAGTGCATTAGGAAAAACACTGCATCTAACAAAATACAGGAGTCTAAGGTGAGTGTAGGTTTTGTAGTTGGAGTAAGTAGTTAGTTACTGAGCTCACGCTGCATTAAAGTATAAACAGAACACAAACAAACATAAATCAACTTACGGGTGAGTCAACACTGCGCCAGAGGCTCAGACAGAACACAAACATTCATAAAAAACATAAAGTAACTTACAGGTGAGCGAACACAACGCCAGAGGTTCAGACAGAACACAAACATACATAAAAAAACATAAACATAAACATAAAGTAACTTACGGGTGAGCGAACACCGCGCCAGAGGTTCAGACAGAACACAGACATACATAAAGAACATAAAGTAACTTACGGGTGAGGGAACACCACGCCAGAGGTTCAGACAGAACACAAACATACATATAACGTAGATTACAGGTGAGCTAATACAGTAACTAAGGCACCTCCAACTATATGGGAAAAAAAAAAAAAAAAATACTATAGGCATGACTGATATAAGATAGTACTGATGACAGGAAGAACACTCCTTCCAGCCTTTGCTTAGATAGCAAATCCTGCAAGGCAGCAGAACATGGAACAGGTTGCACTGGGTTACATGTTACCAGTAGCAGGATGATCATGAAGACCATACTCCTGACCTGACCCTAAAATTTAGCAACATGAAAAAAAATTTAGCAACATGAAAAAAGTTCGTCGATCCTCAATTACAACTTTTTTGCAAATTTTTTTAAAAAGTAATTTTTTTAAAGTTTTTAGTAAAAAACTTTTAAATAAATCTATATTCCAAATTTATTATTACAGAAT